TTGCATCTGAAGACACTTCTGAAAACTGGACCTTTGTGCCTCGGTGCTGTATTATTTCTTTTCTCTCCCAAAATTGTGATCGACACTAGGAGACAGCGTGAGACAGCGTAAGTAACAGAGGATTACGACTTTGCGTGGGAACAAGTCGCAGACTAACTCAGATGAAGACAATTGATTGATACAGTCATTATTCCTTGCTGCAATATAAAGCCTTAAAAAAGCAATAGTAATTTCCGATCCCTGCTTCTTATCTCAGAGGCCTGCATTTAGTGCTGGTGGTGGCAATACGAGCCCTATATGAGCCCTAATTCAAGTTTCTGAGGCAGAAAACAGCTTTTTTTCTCTCCCCTAAGGATGATGAAGCAGCGTCTTTCAGGACTGTATGTCCTCGTGGCTCCGGTCTGAGGGGAAAAAAGGGAGAGGAAAAAAAAAAGACAGAGGGGAAAAAAAAACTCTTGTAAAGGAAGGGCAGGCAAAAGCCTGCTGCCTTCCTCAGCACTGCTTCAGCGAGAAGAAGGTCCTACAGCCTTTAGCTGTTGCAGTAACCAGCAGGGAGTGACAGGGTTACCCAGCACCTTTGCACTTGTTAAGATGTCCCTGGACCATCCAGGAGTGAAGTTCACTCAGTTCTGTTTTGGGGCTGATCTGGCTTCCTGGGTCAGCGCATGATCAGCTTTGAAGGGAGGTTAGGACAGGAGCTGCGCAGGTCACTGATCCAGCCTCCAGAAATTCTGGACAGGATTGTTGGTTTAGAAGAGCAATTGCAGGGAATTTGTTAGGTGAATTGTTAAGGGGATTTATTGCCCCTCTTCCTCCGTGCTGAGGATGCAGCTAATGTGGGCCTGGTGTGATCTGCAGCAAACCAGCTGCAACAGCCTGATGAAATTCAAATGAAAGAACAGATGCACAGGTTTTCCTTAGAGTGAACTTGTGCAAAGCGTGGGCAAATATCTCATCAAAAGTTATTTTTGCTCTCCTGGAAACAACAGCAGTAGTCTGTTCAGGCACTGTGATCAGAGGCTCCTGTGTGAGCGCGTACAGCAGGGAGTTTGCAGGCTTGCTGGCAGAAATGCCGTTTCATCTCGCCCGCGAGGCTCAGCGGCACCGCTGGGAGACGCGGGCAAGGCCGCCTGCGACCAGCAAGGAGAGAGTGCCGCTTAGCGCAGCAGCGCTGAAGCACAGGGCAATGCGAGCGGCGGCCACTGCCGTGGTAATTTGGGCAGGCTCCGTGCACGGGTGGGAACCCGACCCTGAGAGTGCTCAGGCAAACATGGAGCCAGACAGGATCCCATCGTACGAGGAGAGGCTGAGAGGGCTGGGCTTGTTTTGCCTGGAGAAGAGAAGGCTCAGGGAATATCTTATCAATGTGTATAAAAAAACAGCTAGGAGGGAATAAAGAAGATGGAGCCAGACTCTTCTTAGTGGTGGCCAGTGACAGGACAAGAGGCATTGGGCACAGACTGAATTAAATTCCATTTAAACACATGAAAAAGCTTTTTTTACTGTAAGGGTGATTGAACAGTCGAACAGATTGCCCAGAGAGGCTGGAGTCTCCATCCTTGGAGATAACTGAAATCCGACCGAGGCGGGTCCTGGGCAAGCTGCTGCAGCTGACCCTGCTTGAGCAGAGGTGTTGGACTAGATGATCTCTAGAGGTGCCTTCCAACCTCGGTGACTCTGTGAGTCTGTGAGATGATGGCCATGGGTTCCTGCAGTGTTCTGTGCATCGCCACCCACATGCAGCACATTAATGCATTAGTTATAGTGAAACAGCAAACACAATCCGAAATAATCATCACACTTGATTCAAAGGGGAAGATTGTCAGTGGCACCATCACGTCTGAAAGAGGGTGGCTTACACTTGAAAGGTACTTTGGTTTTCAGCCTAATAAAATACTTCACCTTTCCTACAGACCTAACACCAAAGAATAGTGGCATCGCAGCTGGTTAGACAATTTGTGTATTAGGTGGCATAATTTGCAGCCAGCTTTCAGCAATCAAAGAGCTTTTTTTCATCTGGGAGCTGAGGAGCACTTTGCCACCAGGTGGCAACCGTGGTAAAGATGTGGGTACCCACTATGTCCCTGCCCAGCGCAGGCTGGCACACTTGCTCCAGCTTTGCTTGGGCCTGAGGTTATGTGGCCACACAAGAGTTCTGCAATCCCTTATCTGCTGCTGGCACTTCCCTCCCTCCGTGTGAAGGTCAGTGAGGGTCACAGTGCCCTGCCTTCCAGAATGGGCCACCTGTGTCTTCCCAATGCTGATTTGTAAAGAATGAACAACATTACACCTCTCTGTAATGTTATGTGAAGCACCAAAAAAATCACTGGCTAGTTCTCCATCTACCAGGTCTTCCCCTTCTCCAAATTCTTTGAATTACTTGGTATCACCTGAGAGCCATTGGCACCCTGTGAGCAGAGCTGATCTCTTCTTTAGTTATCTTCCTGCTCCTCCTCTTGTGACTGCAGCTTGTAGTCCTACACACTTGCAGACCAACACACTTGCAGACCAACACACATGCACGTTCAGGACTGGGTTTGAAACATCCTTGTTTTTCTTGGTAAAGAAGACAGCAGCCAGTGGCTATGTGTCCCAGCTGATTGCGTGGTTGCAAGGTGCAGCTCATGAGAAATGTGAAATGAGAAATAGCTGAACCATGACATTTGGATCTGGAAATCTTATGGGCAATGAAGACTGGGGGTTTAAGATTCAGGAATTAAGGAGCTGTTTCTGTGCTATGTTCCTCATGAGGCTGGCTGAGACTGGGGATTCAACTCTTGATATTTATGGCAGGTTAATACTAGAGTTAGCATAAAAAAAAAAAAGTTCTTGGAGAAATTTCACCTTGAAGAATGCCTTGTCTTTTACTATTCTTCCAAAAATTAACATGTTTAATAGTGAGAAGGCAACAAAAGTGATCTTGTATTCACAAATCTCTTTCAGTTTTCTAAAAAGGAAAAATGAAACAGAAAGTGCCATTTTGATGTATTGAGTGTTGCTAATTTTGGTGTTAGGATGCTGAGGGCCCTAATGGACCTTAATTGCCCTGACTGGACTCACCTGTGGCCTCCAACCGCACCCTCTGCCCATTGCTCTAGGAGCCCATTTAAGCCCAGCTATGGGCCCTCCCTCCCTCTCTGAGCTCTGCTACAGGTGTAGACACATGTCTGTCTCTAGTTTTGTCTTGAAGCTTGCCTTCTAGATGAACTCTGGACTGATGTTGCAGCCTTGTCTCCAGCCCTACTTCTGGAAGGACACCAGACCTGTCCTGTGGGTAGCTTGTCTCCTAGATGGACTCAGGTGTGTGCATAGTAGCTTGTGTCTGGTCTGGTCTCTGGCCCTATCTTCTTCTGTTCCTGAGTGGACTCCCCAGGTGGTCTCGGGACCTGGTTAATGACTTGTGTCTGGTGCTGCTGATGGGCCTGGTTACCAGCCCTGTTTCTGCTTGCTGTGCTTGGACCCTGTGGGTCTGTGCATTGTCAGTGTGGGTGCTACTTGTGCTGGGGTCACCCTTGGCTCCTGGCTTGCTTGTTGTTGTTGTACTCTGCTGGGCCTGATCCTTTAGGACGAGGGCTGGTGCTGGTTAATTTTTCAGAGAGGTAGCGTGTCTGTGTGTGTGGAGCGCCTTTGGCACTATCTGGAAAAATGATTATCTGTGTTTAATTAGATGGTTTGGTGGCTAATGTTGAGCCAAAATAATAGAGCTGTGGCATGTGTGATATTTCTGGCTGCGGTAGATCAGCATTAATAGGTTGGTATTAACCTGGAGAATCCCAAGACCTCAGGGTGTTGCAGTAACCTTCCATTCTTGGCTAAGCGCTGTGGCACTGCTCTGCGGGTGAGACCAGGCTGATTTTTGCAGGGTGGCTGTGGGCCCAGCAGTTAGATGCGGCTCACTCCAGAGGCAGAATGGGCTTAGCCGACAAAGGGATGGATGTGGGCCTTGTCCGTTTATGTTAAACCGGTTCAAGCATACTAGGTTCCGTGATACTACCAGTTCAGATTTTCTTGTATCATTGTGCTACTGCTGGTCTCCTTGCTGATTCCAGGGACCAAGGGAGATGATGTAGCTATGTGTGAGTATTAGGAATTGGTCTTACACGTTCAGAAGGTCTGTGCACAAACCAGGGAGTTGGTCTGAGAACCTTACTGGTTAGGGGCATTCTGGGGTAAGTGTAAAATGTTGTGTGGATAGATACGTACCTGGGATAAGGCACACCTTACTTAGAGCAAGAAGAGAAAGACCTTTAAGGAGTGCAGTCATCCCCCTTTCCTCCCTGTGAGGATTGCCCTTCTAGGAATGTATCTCTAGGACTGAATGTGGCAATGGGACCTGTTTGTCTCTGTAGGTGTTTGGTGGTGATGAGGTTTTGTCCCAGCTGTGAAAGCTGGGAAGAGGTCTCATTCCCATCTCATTGTTTATTAATGAGGAAGAGATGTTCTCATTACAGCCTGGGCACAGGCTGGGTGAAGTTGACCCAGATTGCGGCTGATGTTCAGAAAAGCCCCTCACCTAACCCTGTCTTGTTGGAGGATGGTCCCACTGCTGATAAGCTGTGATCTCAACTTCAGCTCTCTGGGCATTGCTCACGGATGGAACCTTTGTAGGGTGGGATTTCAACAGGTTGATAGTAATTTCTGTGGTTTTCAATATGCTGTTTCTGGTTTCCAGATTCTCTTCCTCTCAGGCCCCAGTTATGTTCGAGTACTTAACTTTGCTTTTAAACAAGGACCTTTATCTGTAAGGCTTTTCAGGGCTTTTCTTGTGGCTTACGAAACCTTAATTGTATTATAAATTGGCAATATCCTATTTTGCAAGAGGTGAAATGTAACATAGAAGGCAATGATGCAATGACATGGGATAACTAGCATAATAGTTTCCTTCAGTAAAAGGAAGAGCAGACTCTTTTTTCCATAAGCTTTATTTCATCAAACATGTTCAAATATTTTTGACACTTAACAGAAATGATGCTGTTAAAAATTGCTACTAATGCAAAAAAAACATAGTTGCTGTAGTATCTGCATGGTGTTTGAGATACAAGTTTTGCTTTTGGTTTAAATTTGAGTTTGTATTAACAGTTCAGGAAAGTGGGACATCCCTCATAATCAAAAATACAACCAAAACACATGTGCATATATGAGGACACGAAAATATTTAGTTTTTTTTCTTCCAAATACTCATTTATCTTCCATTTGGTATGTCTGTTTTCTTAATGCACTATGATGAGCAGTAGTTAACCCTACGCCAAGAAACAATCCTCCCAATAAATCTATTAAGAACTGAAGACTGCATCAACCTCCAAATGCTGATCTTTTTCAATAGCAGTATATGGGAAGAAACCCAGCTTTTCTGTACTGTACAGCAGATGGCAATAAAGGACTGTTATGCAGCAGAAGTACACCTTTGAAAAGGTAGTTTTCTGCCTTTAGTGTGCTTCAGGGTGTGACAAAAATGAGTACAAAAATGCAGCTTTGAGAAGCTGGGAGATGCAGAGGAGGAAAATGCAAAACTTGCAAGTAAGCAGTACAAACCATGTGAATGATAACAATAAAATAAAACAAGCACATACATTACATCTTAAAGAGAAAGAGCACTTGTGCATTCGTTAGCTATCCCCTCAAGAGTTTACGGAGTTGCCTCTATAAAGGTATGGGGGAGGGGAGGGATCTGTGAGCCCCAATCTGCTGTTCTAAGAAGTTCTGCATTCCAGCATCTTTCGGAAACTTTTTCGAAAGCTGTCATCAAGGAAAGCATACAAGAAAGGATTCAGGCATGAATTGGCATAGCTTAGACTTGTAATGAAGTAGGATATACCAATGACCATGGAGGTCTGGGGCAAGTCAGTGGTCAAAGCCACGATGGTGGCCAAGTGGAAGGGGGTCCAACAGAAGAGGCAGACAGCCAGCACTATGAAGACCATGATAGTGACTTTCTTCTTGGCTTTGTCCAGGGCTTTAGCATTAGAGTTCAAGTGCATGTTCCTTAGCTTGTAGAGCATCATGGTATAGAGGATGCAGATGGTGGATACTGGAATGGCAAAGCCAAGGATGAGGGTATAGATCCTGCTGGCTTTGAACCAGAACCTTTCAGGCTTGGGGAAATTTAGGCCACAACTCTTGATCTCCAGGTCATCTATGTAGACGTTGGCAAAGACGATGAAAGGGAGAACTATGATGGTGACTAGGACCCAGATGCACAAACTGACAATCCTGGCCGCTCGATACGTGCGATGTGGCATCCTCTTGGACCTAACTGTAGCGAGCACTACCAGGTACCTGTCTATGCTCATCACTGTTAGGAAATAAATGCTGGAGAAGATATTGTAGTGGTCTATGGACAAGATGACCTTGCAGAGGACTTCTCCAAAGGGCCAGTAGTGAAGGAGGTGTTCAGCAATATTAATGGGCAAGACAAGTGTGAACAAGTCATCGGCTATGGCAAGGTTCAGGATGAACATGTTTGTCACAGTCTTCATCTTGGGGGCCTTGAGGATCACATAGATGACAGCAGTATTGCCTGTGAGCCCAACTGCGCAGATCACAGAGTAAATCACAGGGAGGACAACATAGAAATCAGGTGCCTGTTCTTGGAAGGTGAGGTTGAACTTTGTGATGCTGTCCAGGTAGCAGCTGTTGCCTGCATTGAAACAGGTGCTGTTCCCATCATCCCACAGAGAGCTGTTTCCCATGCCTGCTTGAGCTGATCACAGGCTACCTTCAGGTGTCACTAAGAGCCTCCTTAGCCTGGCAGGGAGCCTTTCGTCTGTGCTGGCAAGGAGCTGTGCTCTCATTTAGAAGTGAGTTATTTTCAGAGAGTGGGTCCTGAGGCAGCATGGACCGTCTAACTTACCTGTCCTGTTTCCCCACCTTTGCACAAGTTACATTTTTTTAAATGAGCAGGAAAAAGAAGATGACACTATAAGGCTCCAAGCGCAAAGCAAATTGGATTATATCTCCCTATATGAGCAGAGGCACTCTTCTCTCTCGGAGCATCCCTTGAGCTGTAGCTGTTCTCTGCTAGGGAAGTCAAGTGGCTCCTGTTCAACCAGCTGCAGCAAGAATCTTTGGTGGGGCTGGCAGGAACGGAGAGGGAAGCTTTCTGCCTGGCAGACTATTTACAGCCCTCAGAGGACTTTAGGGAAGTCTGCTGTTTCACTTGCACAGCACTTGCTTTTCCAAATCAGAGCAGAAGCACTGCAGTATTTAATTAGTGCATTTCTTTGGGTCAGGGGACTTCAGACACTTTTCATGGACCAAGATTTCCCAGACAATGCAGTGGAAGTTTCTGACACGGCTACTCCCTGCTCCCTAGCAAAAGAGGAAGGAAAGAAAAAGCAATGAAGTTCAAGGAGTATTTAAAAATATAAATAAGAATTAAAAAGGCTTAACCCACAATTAAAGTAACTTTTTAACCAAAAGTAGGTTGTGATCTGGTCATTAAGCAGACCATTCCCATGGCAGATTGTAGCAGTGCACAAAACTTGGAGGTAGAAACCTATGGTCTCAAGAGTTCAGGGTTATCCAGCAAAGGAGAAAGTGCCCTGAAAGCAAGTCCACCTTAGAATCACAGCAAGAATTATCCCATCTCCTTATATCTTTCTAGCAGTTGCCACATCTGTCGCTGTTGCCTGTCCCACACTTGCAGGAATTCCTCTGCAGGGAAGCAAGCAAACAGCCAACCAAAACCCCCCGTGAAGATGAAAGTCAGCAAGTGGTCCCCAGACTCTGCAAGGAAGTTTCCCTTCTTGCATTTTGTTGTCACACAGCAATAATAAAGGCAAGAAGTCTGGAGTCAGGGGCTGAAGCTGCTCTTACCTGGGAGAGCGACGGCTCGGCTGCGTCCACCGGCACCTGCGGCTGTGTGCTGCTGAGCCTCTGCTCCAGTCGGAGCTGGAGGAGGGTCTCGGATGCTGACGTTGCCAGTCCTTGCAGTCGTATCACCATGGTGGCTCTGTGTGCGCTTTGCGCATCGGAGCAATTAATGTTTGTTCACA